ACGAGCAGAATTCGGAGAAACTTTTCAGATATCACGTGCGCTGACCTCTTGGCGTGACTTTTGTCGACACCCTCCAGGCAGTCTAGGAGAGACGAATTTTCAAGATGTGGCTCGAGGATTTGCTGCAAAGCTTCGAGGATTTTTGTTCGTGGGAGATGTTTGACTGCCTTTTCAAAAAACGTCACAATCGTTTCCAGCAGCGATAGAAACTCCAGCTTTGGATAGTGAAGTTCACCTGTCGGTTGTGTACGCAGAAGCTTATACAGATGACTGCTTGTATTGTTCGTCGTCGCAACCATGACGCAAGCATCGAACCCCAGTTCACCGATGCGCAATATAGCCACCTACGTACACCAAGCCCGAATAAGCAACAGAGGCTGGCGGGGTCGGTGAATGTTCTTGCAGAACTTCCAGTTCTTGAGCTATACCTTGAGGAACAGATGCGACCGCTTCTTCGACGTCTTCGCCTTGCTCGTTTGTTTTTTTTCGACGGCAGCGCCTTTTCCTCTACGATGTGATCCAAAGCCGCTGTCATGGCTCTTGCGTCTAGCGCGTCGTTCCCTCCACACATAAACCTCAGTTTTCCGAACAGTGCCTCAACGGGATCGCTGTTAAATTTCTTGGTCAGAATGTAGTTGACGCCACTCCTCAGCAGAAATTGGGCTGTCTCCACTGTGGACCTTGTGCTGAAAAGCAGGGCATTGTACGTTTCATCTGTGAAGCTCCCAACACGAGCGGCGATTGAACAGTCTTGGATGTTCTTAATGTAGCTGCAAAACTCATTTTGGAGCCACAGTAGTCGGCCGTCGTCCTCTTTGGAGATGGGCATTTTGCAGTCAACTCCTTTGAGTATAGTGTCGTGGATGCCGAACCATTTTTTCATAACTTCCATGAAGTTGATTGTAAATGTTGTGTCCTTGAAAGCAAAGAGAGCCGGTTGCCTTGCCGGTTCTTTTGCAGATGTTCCAGCGCCGCACTGACTTCAAGCGAAAACACCTGCACAGCTCGCGACACGTTCATCGTTTCAAGGTTGGACGGGGACATGTTTTCTTGTTAGGTTTGTGCCCAATTTTAGTGTCATTCTTTCTGGTGCTCGTACAGTTTCTGCACGAGTGTGCCACTGATCACACCTGTGCCGTCAGTGAATTCACGCTCGAGAAATTGACTGCGGACATTTTTGAGGATGTGGCAAGGATCAAAGCTGAGAAAAATGACCCGTTCATCGTCCAGAGGGTGCTTTACTGCTGTTGACAAGGATCCATTCCCCATGACCTTGAACATGATAGTGTTTGCGGAGTAGTTATCAGTGACAATGCGAATGACTACAAAGCCGCATTCCTCAACGACAGAGATGACGTCCTTAGTCCACGCAAACAAATCTCTTCCGCTGAGCTGTTTTGTGAAATAGTACGAACATGGTATCTTGTACGAGCTGGTCACCCCATGGAGCACGAAACACGGGACTCGGTTAGCAAGTGTTCCATTCGTGTTGCGTGGCTCACCGTTTTTTGGCTTGTCTTTGATGCCAAATACTACGTCAGAATTCCGGTCGTAGACGCACTTCGGTTTTATCGCAGCTTCACCGATTAATAATGAAGCCATGTGCTGCTTGTGGCTGAGAAGAGACGCCTCGTGGATCAGCCTTTCTTTCATTGCACTACTCATTTCCGAAGACGTTGCGCTGGGACCGACGTACCGCTGCAGTGTGCACTTATGTGGCAGTGTCAACAGCCCAGCTCGTGCATGATCATAGCCTTTCGGTGAAAGAAAGCGTCATATCACGCATTCTCTGATGACTTCTTTAGGGTAAGAATTGAATTCCTTCTCGTAGCCCTCTATTTGGTGGAGCAGGAAAACAGCCTTTTTTCCTCTTTTTTTTTGGCATCTGCAGCAATCTTGTTCACTGATGTGTAGTCCTTGTGGTCACAATAGGAGCTGACACCTTCCTCTCTGCGTCTAGCTGCTGCTGGGCTTTCGAGAACTTGGAACGATGGTACGCCACTTGTGATCGAAGCCTTGCAACCAGTGAAAGGTATCGACTTGCCCGCTGCACATCATTGTGTGTCGTTTGCGTGCATGTACTTGATTTCTGCTTGGCTTCACCTTCCCGCGTCTCTAAAACAGCATACTCTTCTGGCTCGGCCTTCTGTTAGGCTGGCTTCCTAGAAGGAACAGGGTCTCGAGCTTTCGGATCCCTACGTGATTTCTTTGCATTAGGTGCAAGGTGCAAGGACTGCATATCCCTCAAATACAGTCGGCACCACACTGGGAACCAGCCTTTTGATTTCGCACTCGCTGAAATAGCCGCTTAGTAAGAAATGCTTGCTGCATACTACCGTTGAGGCCAACTTGTCATTAATAACAAGATTTTCCCGGGAAACATGTTTTCGCCATTTCGCGCACAGTTCCTCGTCAACTGGAAACTGGTGGAACAACACACCTGGAGTCTTTCCGGACCGCGACTTACAAAACGGCACCCAGCAGTACACCATAGCCACGTTAGCGGAATCCTGACATGCGAAGCACGGAATCCCAAGGCAGTCCCTTCAGAAGTTTGCGAACATGCATGAAACGTCCGTTGCAGAAACGTATGGTGAAATGTCGCTTGATGCAAGGCGCGCGAAGTGTACGGCAGGTGTGCAGGCCCGTTCACGCGACGAAGCTTTCGATCACACGTTTAAACACCGTGATTAAGCCAGCACATGTAAACATGTGCCCCCGCGCACATTTACCAGCCCGTACCAAGCCGCAGTAAAGCGCGCGCGTAGAGAGCGCATTCTCCAGTACGGTCGGGGCAAGGGTATGCTCGCATGCCATCTCTTGAAGATCGGCGCCCCGGCAGCTCAGAAAAAAATGCATTGCCCTCGCTGCGCCTGCTCAGGCCGTACAGGGAGAACGCGCACGCGTACTACAGTCCGGCCGCGGACGTGCGTAACGTTTTTTTTTTCCCCATGCTATCCCACCACGCTCAGCTTCCAGCACTTTTGTGGGCAGAGAAGAGAGAATGCAATTGCAGCATGCGACAAATTTTTAAAGGCTGTTTTCCTGCTCCACCAAATAGAGGGCTACGAGAAGGAATTCAATTCTTACACTGAAGAAGTCATCAGAGAATGCGTGATATGGCGCTTTCTTTCACCGAAAGGCTATGATCATGCACGAGCTGGGCTGTTGACACTGCCACATAAGTGCAATAGGCTTCTTTGACGAATCTATTCAATGGCTACCTAAAAAAATCCATTCAATGGCTACTGGAAAAAGTGTTGCAGGGCTTCTTTAAATACAGGGTGTCTTTTTAGACTATACAGGTTTTCTATAAAATTCATTGCAGTCAGGCTCTCTTAGTTATCACACATTAACTCTACGTAGAGGCATAAATACTTTCCTGCTGGTTAAATTATGTTGACAAGACTAATTACAAAAGCTAGTTCATTAAATTTTAAATTTTTTTACTGCGGTTTATACTACAAAGTTGTAATGCATGATAATTTATGACATACCTATTTTTTGCAAATCACATAGTTCCGAGATATTTATCCTCGAATTTTAAGTGGGATATTGAAATTGATTGCACCCTGCGAGCACAAAGTAAACCAGAACACCGGAACGACCCGAGACAGGGAAGCGATCAAATTTTAAAGAAGGCACACTAAAGCAGAATCTGGTCAGAAAAATCGGCAAGAATCATGAAATACACAAGCAGACAGTTCATTGTTTGTGTGCGATGGGTGGTGCCTATCTGTTTCTTTCATAAACTATAAAGAGACGCGAAAAACCATTTGACCTGTCAGCAAGAACAAGCACCGAAGTGGCTGCCAGAGTTTTACTCTTTACAGATAACGAAGAGGTTGATATTGTGGTCTTCTTGTGAACAGTTCGAAGAAACAAATAAGCATCAAACACTACATGCAAAAGTAAGGCGATGAACTAGCACAAGTCATATGACGTGTTGATTTCACGAAAACAAATAGCCATGGCACACAATCATTCATACTTTATAACTATCTTGACATAAGTGGTTCCAGTCTGACATAACAGAACTGTCGCGCTTCATCCGCAAACAGTTTCGATTATTTCTCATTAACCAACTTTTCTTAAGCACAACACTTAGCACATATGCGAACAAGAGTGTCATTTTAACTGCAGCAAAGTATTTCTCCCTCCTTGACATGGAGTTTGTATGCAAAAGCAACAGGAGCCTTGCCGTCAGAGATTCTCATAAAAAAGCTGTATTTTCTTAAAAAAAGAAAGAAACCCCCACTATTCATTCATTTTGAATTTTTTTAATTTCAAATAATTTGGAGTTGTGTCAATGCGAGTTCAAATATTCACCCATGCCTAAAAAAATTCTTTAAAGTTTATCTAAAATGTATGATCACGAAAAATTCATAAAAAGAAATTTTATGGTAAAAATAATGCCTTAGTGCATTCAAGATGAAAACAATGCACACTCTTTCCAATGTGCACACTCTTTCCACATGGAAAGAGTGTGCACATTATGTACAGTCTCATGCAGGTTCAAAGGCCATTGTGGCTGATAGACAAGAAAGACTTCTAGCTGTTTATTCTTCATTATATTTACCAGAAAGGAGAAATGAGCGGGAAGAAAATAACAGAAACATTTAAGGGGAACAAATAAGAACCATCATATGGGCTGAGAGAGGACACAATGAAACTATAATGAATTGTAAAAATGCAGTAAACAAGAGCAAGTAAACAACAGAAGGCCCACCTTTTGTAAAATGCAAGCTTGCAAGATGTAACTAGCTCAAAGTGCACATCAATTTGATACCAAGGCAACTTCGAAAACATGTGCTGCACTACTTTGACAAAAGCTGCTTGAACAGGTAGCTGGAAAGTGTCCCTTAGACTGAACCATAATTGTAGCATCTGCTTGCAATAGCTTTTAACTATGTTCTCGTAGAGTTACCAGCTAAGTTTTCAATTTACTGTATATATGGCTTTGCTAACTACTTCATTTCAACTTTGAAAAGGTAAATTACCTCCATCGAATGCATGCCATCACAGATGGTTTTGTAGGAGGCACCAAGGCCGGTGTCCATGAGGGGTGGTGTTTGATAGGCCAGGTAAAACTGAATAAGGTCTTCATATAATCCTGGCGTTTCCAACAGTTGTCTGCAATCAAAAGGTGTGTAAAAGAATGTCTTATCATGATAAGGATAAAATACATATTTTGTATTGCCATCTTGAAGCATAGATTTTTCTTGCACATCAACCGTTTTTCCACCAGTAAAAGAAAGTGTCAAATTTACTAAAAAAATTTTTTCACTCAATTCGTAGAGCTTTTTCTTTTTCTGAATAAAATGGTGCCATTCTTTCCCTTCAATGGGCCACCTTTTCACACTAATTGTGCGTGAAAAAATTTCCAGATGATGGCTTCACTGCATAGCAGTACAATAAGAGATGGTCATAAAATGAAAGCCGAGACACAAATGGCACAACTTAGACAAGTGTGGCCATCTACCATAAAGAAACACAACTAAGACTAGTGCAGTTGCCGTTGTTCTTATGCGAGACCAATTTTATTTGATGACAAGTATTGTCACTGGTCATCAAAATCTTAAGACTGTACTCATTGAATTACCAAAGGCTTAAAGCTTCATGTAGAAACCTTATTTAGAATATGGTTTCATGACTAATTGTTGAATACATGCAAAACACCAAACAACTTTGCTCGGATAAATGTGCTCTTCCATCTCAATGAAAAGTGTTCAGCTTCGCTCATCGTTCCCTTACTACCACAGACAGCTTTATGAGGATGTAGATGCGGTCACTAGCCAAGTCAAGGTAAAAAATCACAAAGAGGTTTCGGGACCCATACAGGTTCCTTATTCACACTAAGCAGGCAAGGGCAGCATGTCGCTTTTTACGCTAAAATGTGACGTAATGAACGGGCTACGTCTCATTACATCACAACCCATATGAGTCCCAAAACGACTCTGTGCTTTTTCAACTTGACTTGGACAGTGACCACATTTACATCCTCATCATGATACCTGGCCAGACGAACTTTCGTCGAATTCTTGACTACAGCTAGCTTTATCTTTTGCACCCACTGTCTGAGTCAGAAGCTATCACTTCATTACTTCTAATTGTTTGGGGACATACTTAAAAAAGAAAACTTCTGATCCATCCCCTACAGTATGAAGTCGCAAAGAAAATAATAAAATGTGGGGTTTTATGTTTCAAAACTATGATATTATTATGAGAGACACTATAACGAAAGGCTCTGGAAATTTTTACTGTCTGGTGTTCTTGAACGTGCACCGACACTGTACAGCCCTTTAGCATTTCGCCTCCATCGAAATGCGACCACCGTCCCCAGGACTGTACCTGCAATCTTTGGGTCAGCAGCTGAGCACTATAATCACTGCTCCACCTTGGCAAACCACACAAAAGAAATACACATGAATTTTTCAGAAAGAAAGTATTTTAGCTAATTATAAATTAGTCTTGGTATGGCATACAAACCACAGACAAACCCTCTTTTTTAGCCAATTAATCAAATCTGAGTCAACCAAGCTAACTACAGTGCAAGTGCAAATGACTTAAGAACTCTAAACAGAGGGATGCTCAAATATAGCACAAGTCTGCCAAACATATGTGCTTTTATGTTTATAAATGCAATGAAACCACATATCCATATAACAGTTTTTTTTTTTTTGAGACTGTGTGCACATAAATGGCCTAGTGATTGTCTTTTTTTTACCCTGGGGTCCCTCCTCCTGAAGGGCACAAAACAACATACCTAAATGAGGCAGCCATTTTTCACTCGCCAATTCACAACTTCATTTCACAGCAAAGAATTTACGTGAAAACTGACAGTCTCTTTGAAGAAAAAAATAATAAGTATCTTCCATTAGTATCAGTGCATGTAAGAAAGTGTAATTCAAATAAAATTTGTCACTCCTTTACACTAACTTTTAGTGTGTAGATGTGAGCTACAGACAGTTGTAAGAGACATCGCTTAACACTATAAGAACGTGGAACATGAACACTAATAATTTTAGCTTTCTGTAATGCATTACATTACCTCAACTTATAGGAAATGTTTTTGCACTTGTTACTGGCAATACATAGTGTGCACATTGCATCATGCAGTGCCCCTTAGTCACTTCCGGAATGCGCCACCGACATGCCCAGGTGCCTACCTGACTATCGCCGACCTCTGCCGTGCTGTTTCCCTGTGCTGGTGCCCGCTCAGTTTTGCCTCACGATGCAAGTTTTAGCAATTATCAGCTGCTAGTGAGACAAGTTGATTTAGCTTAGCAGCCCACGAAGAGCCTCCGGGTGTTCTTTTTGCCGAAAGTTATTACCTAAAATTGAGAACGCAAATTGCGATTTTCCGAAAAGCACCAGTGTGCTTGGCTGGTGCAGATTAACAAAAACAACTTGAACCTCGATGATATATGCGTCTTCAGTAACTTCACTACAAGTAATCATTATATGCAAGCAGAAGGTGCATACAGATATAGCTTACCGTTATTACTGTATACACAAACTTGTCCGCGACCACTGCATGCACATTCAGCGTGTCAGAGAGGTGGTTGAAATCGCGATGACGATCGTGGAAATTGGGGTATCGCATCGAAAAAAAAACTGAAAACGAATGTGAAACATTCTTCGTTCACTCGAGGTTCGAAGTATAGCACAAGTCCCCAGTAGGTTAACATCCCGATCGGTTGGAGTTGAATGGTCATTTTCTTTTTAAACATTGGTCGATTGATTCCCTGAAACAGTCTTCACCATTTTAAGGGACACCACTGTACATTAGCGCACAATAACAAAAGTAAAATACAAGGTAAAATTCTCAAAACATAAGCAAAAAAAAAGGTGACCTGTATAACCGCGGTACACACCACGTGAAGTTTCTACCTCGCATTTTTTTTTTCCCCTCGGCTGGTTCCACAAGTTCCGATCAAAGAGCTTCAACATGAGCACAGTTTAAAACACTTGAGGAGCCGCGCTCCATGAGCTACTTTGGTGGCGTGGGCTGCAGTAATATATTAAAATTATTATTAATATTATATCTGCTGTGAATTTGCCTAGCTCTGCACGACGACTTGTTTTCGATGGGAGCTGTTTCGCTTCGCTCATGCACTCTTAAAATTGTGGCTTGAGAAACTTTGGGCTTTCACTTGTTCTTGAGCCACACAATTTGTACTGAAAGTGGTGAGATAATGTGCTCTTGTTGGTCGTGACGGGCAGCCAGAGTACGCGGTGGCATCGCTGTTGATGGAAATCTGGTATATAGGTTTACGTGTCACCCATCTTGATTTTCTGGTTTTGTATAGAGTGAACAAGTGAGGCCTTCCGAATACGATGAGCTCGTTAAGTACAACAAAAATCAGCACTGCTTTGCTTTAAACAATGCACACAGCAACAGATTACGAGCCCTTAACAAACCTCGCTGCATTACGCAAACTGCTTGCTGTAGGTACCTAGGAAGGTACCCGGGCATGGCGGAAAAGAGCGACAACAAAGGAAGTGGCATCACATGAACACTATGTATAGGAACATACATCCAAATTATCCAAACAGTTGGTCATTAACTCAACTATTTCCAGTTCTATGTAAAACTATAGACAGCTATTTATTCACTAAAGTGCACGAGAACAGCCAGAAGGGACTAGTAAAGTCTCTGTGAAAGCCTAGATTATTGCAAAGAAAGAAACCTTGCTGCCACACCTTTGCACATGCTATCTAGGAGAAATTTTCATGAAATTTTGAAAGTCGGAGCACGTTCTGCTTTTCTAGCAAAATCCTGCCATTCCTCATTCATAACAAGGAAGGCTTTCTTCGATTCATTTTTCTGACATGCCAGAACAAACCACTGCATGGATGCATCATGTTTTCATGGAGTGGGGACTGGGTCTAAAATTCTCGTTTTCACCAACAATGTTTATATTTAGATTTCTCAATTCATAACCTTTAATTAAGTTCTACAGCTATATGTGTGGTCATCCACCGTTTAATACAGATATCACAAAACAGCTAATGCTACAAAAACAGGTAGAGTAAACCAGTCTTCTTAGCAAGATGTTTGCAAATGAATACAAATGATACAAAGTATTCATTTAATATACAAGAATAGAAGTGCTCTAAGAACAAGTCGAAATAGTGAATGCGTCATAAAGGGTGCTTACCAGCGCAAACGACAGGGCAGGAGGAGTCAGGAGAAGAGACGAGACAGAGCGCTGAACTACCAACAATTTATTTCTTGTGAAGGTATTCACTTTTATACAGTTACCAGTGTCCTGTCATTTGTGCTGGTAAGCACCCTTTATGATGTTATACCAACACGCCCAATCCCACTGTCTCTAGTGAATGCGGCCCAGATGTTGTAGCGATGATAGTGGCAGACTTCAATGCAGAATCGGGAGAGTGCTTGATGAGCTGGAGTTAGATTTCAGTTCAGACAAAGAATTTCGTTTAGCAAGAAACCAAGAGTAGAACCTCACAAGCACATCAGCCAACTTCAAAGCCTAAAAAAAGGGGGGGGGGGGGGGGGGGAGTAAGCTAGACACAATCATTGCTGAGATGTGTATAATTGAAAGAGAGTGTAGCCCTGGAGAATAATACATATTTTGAAGTGATTCTTTAGAGTTTGCACTTTCTGGTCAATTCATACATTTAAAACCCTAGTCACACTTAAGAGTCATATTGGGCAAGTGCACTTACACTGCGAGAATGTCACTTTGGTGGCGTGCTGCTACACGAGAAAGGGATGTCACTTGTAATGGCGGTGAGAATTTAGATTTCACAACAGATAGTAATATTGATGAGATCTAACAGACAATTATGCCAAAGAAAGTAGAGGGTATGTTATATGAGGTGATTGCAACGTAAATGTGAAAAAAGAAAACTGGATGAAAAGATAACTTGCCATGGGCAGGGACAGAGCCTCCGACCTTCGAATAAAGCGTTCGATGCTCTGCCAACTCAGCTACCACAGCGGCTATTTCCTCATCCACTTTATTGGGTATATATGTGAATTAAACGTGGTAGCGTCAGTCAGTGCCACCTGTTGCCATGGCGGTGAGTGTGAAACACTCTTCTTGCCTGATTAGCGTCACGTAGTACGTGGTTTTATTCAGAGATGGCAGCTGACCAAT